ATTTGAAAAAAAAAAAATGATAGATGTACATTAAGATCTTATATTTTGAACTAAATTCAATTTTCACATACTTCCTCCTAGATTAATTCGGTACTAACAACTTGAAGTTACGAGAAAAATACGGCATTTAACATGCAACCTCTCGCCATTCATTTATATAGGGAACCTTCATGTACCCTGATTGGCACAAGAGGATTATTGTATGGGTTGTGAACAATATTAAATTATAGCTAAGATATACGAATGCCAATTTTAGTTCCTAAAATATCCAGTCTGGCAACGTGTGGAGAGAGCCAGTTGTGTGGGAAATTTTTTTTTTTTAAACAAAAATCAGCAATTTAGGTATTAAGAATTTGCTATAAAAGGAGGACAACACTTCTCTACTTGGATGCATAGCGAATAGATTCACATACAGAAATGGCCCTCAAAATGAATGTGGCGCTTCTGATCATGGGGTTTGCCATGGCGAGCCTTTTCTCAGTGGCATTAGCTGCTTCCGGAACTGCCACCTTTTAAACTGTATACGTTCGTGAGTATATATTCACTTTTAATCATCATCATCATCAATATGGATCACTCAGTCTGATGTATATGGCTCCGCATATATATTTGCAGCTTCTGCATGCTATGGATACCAAAACCAGGGAACTATGATAGCAGCAGCGGGCGACTCCCTCTGGAACAATGGAGCCGCCTGCGGAAAAAAGTACAGAATCAGGTGCACCGGTGGTACCAATAAGGGCGTGACTCACCCTTGCCGGAGCGGAACCGTCACCGTCAAGATTGTCGATCGCTGCCCTTCTCCGGCATGCCAAGGAACCATCGATCTCTCTCGCCAAGCTTTTGCTGCTATCGCTGACCCTGATGAAGGCAAAATCCGCAGCGAATACACCCAGTAATATAATTAATTAAAACTTTCTCTTCTATTTCAACACACGTCACTTTTAATTGATCATTTCTTTTATTACCTCTTCCAGCCAGTCTTACACATTTGGTGTATTTTCAGGGTCTGAAGCTTCTGGGAGAAGATGCAAATCTAGGAATATGTGGTGTTAATGGTGAATAAAGCGTACGTCAGACTATGTACGTCATGGAAAATATGTGTCAAGTGTTTGTGTCTTCTGCGTTTCAATTAATAAAATATTTGGAGCTTTATATACGCTACTCTCCCACGTATTAGAACTCTTTCGACTCAAACTAATCAAATTTAATTTCTTTATCTAATATGGCTTGAAGCAAAGCAAACATGAACCATAAAAGCGAAGCAGTAAGTTATAAATATATAGGGGATCAGCGATGAAGGAAGTGATAACACCAGCTAAAGAGAACATTGCATACTGGACATGCTCGTCTCATATAAACGAGATATTTAAAACGTGCAGAAAGAATATAAGAGGAGGTGTGGAAGTAGATTTGGAGTTGGAAAGGACCGAGAAGGATTCAAATCTTCCTGTGGCTGGCTGCTGGGGTTAATTTGTTCACTGCAGATGAAGAGAAGAATTTGGGTCCCAGTTCGCTGGTGTAAACCGGAGCAAGGATGGATCAAATTGAACTGTGATGGTTCGGCGAGAGGGAGGGACGGTGTTGCAGGTTGTGGAGGGTTATTTAGGGAGTGTGAAGGTGTAGCCCAGTAGTAGCTGAATTATGGGGTGTACTTAAGGTGGTGCTGCTCTCAGAGAAGGTGGAGGATGTGATGCAGTGACTGGGGTGGATTCGACTGTAACAGCTAGGAGGCTCGAAGATGTAACCAGTTTCAACATTCATCACAATGATGAGTTCCAGATAAAATTTTAACCATATGAACGGTTGATATTTAATATTTAATATTTTTATTTTCAAAAAATATTTTCCTTTTAATAGTTATATAATCCAAAATAAATATGATATCTCAATTGTAAGTTTTTTAAAAAATAAATTTTTTATTTAAAAATTACTAGTTGAAAATTTTAAATCTAAATTATTAAAATTGATTTTGACAATTCAGATTTTACTGTAATAATGAGTATGTGATACTTATCACTGTGACGAGCCGTGAAACTGTTGTCCTCGAAAATTGGTTAGCCAAGCAGAGCTTCCTTCAATCCGCAGCTGTACAACATGGGTAAGGTTCCTCCTGAGGATCTGAGAGACTTCGGGTGGGGTGCGCCCACGATTTGTTGCTGTTTAGTTTTTGATTGGGCCTTAGACCCCGTTGCTTGGGCCCCCCCAAAAAAAAAGAATAAAAGAGGATTCTAGTTGGAGGCCTAGAAGTTAGATGAGGGTTGGTCACTTGGTTGAGTGGCAGCATTCGCAATTTGGATGCTATAGAAATGAGGATGAAGGAAGATGAAGCTTGGGGTCAATGGTCAACCGGTATAGTATACTTTTCTGATACTGTACACGAGGCACTTTTAACATGTTCTATCAGAAAAATCTTAAATTTAATCAACTTTGTCTTAAAATTTAAAAAAATGAACTTTATTCTTGATTTAATATATAGATTAAGAAAACAACAGTTTATAGAACAATAAATTAAATTAGAGATAAAATTATACGTTCATGTAATGAGGTTAAAAATTAGTGATTTTTAATTGTTTATCATTAGAAAATAATGAAGTGTCTGATATTAATAAAGGAAAACAAAATACTCTCCGTTTACCTTGTAAACAAAACCAGAGGGTATAACGACTTTAAACTTGAAAATTAATTACGATCGGTTTGAACTAGCGGTGATGAGATGAAATTGATTTTTAATATTTGAGTACAATAATAAATTCTAAGAAAGTCATTGATTTGGTTCGTTCAACTGTGCTGTATTTAATGAAATGTGGAGTTAGAAAATTTAAAAGAAAAAATTTGGGAAAAATCCCCCGTTGATAAAAACTTTGTCAGTGAGAATGACTTAAATAGAGTGCGGCATTTTTTGTTTATAAAATCTGTATATTATTAATACTCTCTGTGTATAAAAATTTATCATATTTTTTCACCAATAAAATTTTAAATGGGATATTAGTCTTTAGCTCTCAGCTAGGGGTTATTGTCTGTTTTCTACGGGAAAAAAATTATGATGGAGGGCTTTTCCCCAATTTTCTCAAATCAAAATACTTCAGAGATAACAACTGCTTGTTATTTTGGTCAGTGTAAGATAATTAATTAAAGATCACTTTTAGATAATAATTAACTTATGGAGTATTTTGGTAATGATAATCGGTGAACAAGGAAGCATATATGGGCTTTATAGCTTGAGGTTATTATCATAATGAAACTCATAATTGCAAATTCATTTCTTAAATCATATGATATATCCAAACCCAATATTTTACCTGGTCAGTATTACGTTTTATTGGCCAAATTACAATCTATACAAGCATATTAGTTGGCATACTCTTCAAGTCTTCATGGATTTGTTTGACCCCCATCACCATGCCCATATTGTTGACTCAAGACCACAGGCCCTTATAGTAATGGAATCTTACATAATATATTTTATAATTTTTATAATATGGCATCGTCCTTTGTCTATGAGGAAATTTCCTACAATACACTTTTTTTTTTATTAATTGTCCATTTTTCATGAAATCTTATTCAATGAAATTCCATAGATTTTTTGCTTCAAAGGTTTGGACTTTTATTTGCGTGAATAACTGCGTAAATTATGGTCTGCGCTTGGTGAAGAACCCGGCGTACATACGTTTCCAATTTCTAATCTTCATGAACGTAACAGACAAAAAAATCAACGTCCTTATCCAATCCCCAAGGTGACTTCAAGAATCAAGCAGCAAACCAATTTATGTTGGCATATTAAGATTTTCTTCCAGAATGAAACTAGTTTGCTTATCGCTGTGGTGAAATATAAACCATTCAAAATCAGTTTTAATAGTTTAATTTAAAAGTTCTAACTAATAATTTTTAAATAAAAAATTTATTTTTTTAAAAAACTTACACTTAAGATATTACATCTATTTTGGATTATATACCTATTTAAAAAAAACAACTTTTAAAAGACAAATATTAAATATTAAATTTGAATGGTTGAGATTTGATAAGTATTGTGGTGTCCATCACTACGACGAGTACTAAAACTAGTTTCATTATGTGTTTTTGAGATAAACAGTTCATTCACTCAAAAATAAATAAATAACTCATCTTTTCTTTCTCTTTGATATATGGTAGCAGCTGGTTTTTGAAATTTGCTATATTAGCCGACTCTGACTAGTTTTAAGAAAAATAAGCACATTGAACCCTTTTATAACTCGTGTGTGTGTGAAGGAAAAGAAAAAACATGATGGTAAGAGAACATTCATTTTTCATGTATATACTCCTCCGGTCCTTAATATAGAACCCAATTGTTGAATTGGTTTTGATTCTAAATATAAGACTTATTTCTCATATTTATCAATTTTCTCTAAATTACCCCTATAGATACTCCTTCAATTATAATCAAGTAGAAGATAAAGAGGGGTATTAAAAAAGATAATTATGGTATTTTAGGAAAAACGTGTCACATTTCTTATAATTAACCAACTTATCTAACTTTTTTAATCTAATCAAATTATTTAAATAGGTCTTATATTAAAGACTGGAGGAGTATATTATCAGTAAGTTGATTAATCCATTTTTCTCAAATTCTCCTACGATCTGAACCGCCCCGTTAAATGCTTTGTGTTGCGACAGGACGAAAACAATGTAGTCAAAATTATCGTTATATACAACATTCAATGATCTGCTCAGTCGTAATTAAGGTCAGGCAATTAAAGCGGCAAATTAAAGTCCTTCAGTCAGTTGTGAAAAGTGGAGACGTACCGAACATTGACTCATGAATTGAAGTGCCTGCATTTGCCATGTGAAAAATCAAAGATATGGCGTCATTGTTCTAGATACAGAAAGTCTGCCGGCCGCCGGAGACGGAGAAACGTGTGGAGACCGTCACCCTTTCTCTGCGAAATGTAACACTAACTTGAGGGCTAAAATTTAGCTATAAAAGGAGCAAGATAGACCCCCAACTTGGACGCACACAAAACATCATCTATATTTATATTAAGCACTTCCAATACAAATCTCTTAGTGGTCGAACAAATGGCTCTCAAAATGAACGCAGTGTTAGTGATGGGGCTTGCCATCTTGAGCCTTTTCTCAGTGGCTTCTGCTATTTCTGGAACTGCCTCCTATTACACTCAATATACTCGTAAGTATCCCATACGTTACTCACATTTCTCTACCACACTGTGTGTATATGCTTTAATTTGCTTATTCAAGCTTATTCGATTTTAGTCTCCGCAGTATATCGGGATCAGCTGTGTGTGTTATATGCATGTGCTTGCTTCCCTAAGAGGCACACTTGTACTAATTTGTCCCTCTCACGCACTCACACATATATCATACTCATCCGCTTCTCGATATAAGCTATGTTTAACTAATTTAATTAGATTAAAAAGGTTAGATAATTTAGTTAATTATAAGAAATATAACACATATCTTCTAAAACACCATAATCATTTTTTTTAATATCCACCCTCCCTTTCCTACTTGATTATGACTAAGAGAGTATCAATAAGAGTAATTTAAAAAAATTGATATATATGAGAAATATGTTTTATATTTAGAATCAAAATTAACTCAACAATTAGATCCTACATTAAGAACAGGAAGAGTACTGTATAAGTGTCTAACAAGCTTATTATTTTCCTACAAGCAATTTTAAAACCCTCACACGCACAGACAAGTTAACGTCAAGTTCAAGCCCAGGACTTTGAGGAAGCTAACCGTTGACATGTTATTTAAAAAAAAAAAAAAAAGCCTATCGCTTCTTTTCAGAGGAGAGTAGGGGATGAAGTCAGTATATATATGTGCGCGCGCGCGCGAGGGGGCCACAATTAAACAAGACACATAATACCAAGTTTTCGTAAATCTTAGAGACGAAAATATATATAACACTAATGAACAAAATACTAAGAAAAAAATTAATTAAATTGAAAATTTGGAGGGTCATAGTTTTTGTTAGTCAGTCCCCCTTCTTCTCTTCACCACTGGATGGATAGAAACTAATCGGTAGGAATTGAATGGTTATGATTGGCAGCATCGGCATGCTATGGAAATCAAGATGAAGGGACTATGATAGCTGCAGCAAGCGACCCAATCTATAACAATGGAGCCGCATGTGGAAAGATGTACAAAGTTACCTGCACAAGTAGCACCAACAGTGTGCCGGCATGCAAGGGAGGAAGCGTCACCGTCAAGATTGTCGATCGCTGCCCTTCACCGGGATGCCGGGCAACCTTGGATCTCTCTCAGGAAGCTTTCTCCACCATTGCTAACACTGACGCAGGAATAATCAACATTGACTACGTCCAGTAAGTTATTATCTCTATTTCCATTACATTACTGTTGATATTTCACTTTTGTTAGTTTTCCAATTTAATTTTATTAGTACTGACTTCTCTATGGTGTATTTAATTTTCAGGGTCTGAGGCTTCTGGAAGAGAATGGTCGAGAAAAATAATTGTAGATCAGAATAAATAATAACGCGTACATTAGTTAGATGTACGAACTTGATGCAAAATAAAAGAGTTCATTTTCCATGGGCAATGTATGGACTATTCTGTCCCTTACGTTTTAATAAAAGTATTATTGTTATTATTTTTGTCTGGCCAGAAAACATAAACACGATCTCAGGGGTTCCATCCCTAGCTTTTTGTATAAGATAGGAGAAGTAAAATCTATTTGATCAAAAGGATTAGTCCTTGCCAGTGATCAAAGATATATATTACGCCAAATAAACATTATGAATAATCCTTTTATTCGTTCAAGTGATGGAAAGTATAATGAACATAACTATATAATCAAGCTTAGACAATCCCAAGTTTTTAACCAATAATACATCGACAACCGATATATAGCTGCTATATATATCCGCCGAGGGTTTGTCCCCTTCATATTATATTTATTATATTTTGGGTTTCGAAGAACCCTTTTAGGAGCTAAATCAATTTTAATATAATGAGTTAATTCACTAAAAAATAAATTTCTTGTAAAGTTGAAAGCTCAGTTCCCCTTAATTATATAACTAGAACAAGTAACTTTCCTGATTCACTTATCATTACGTAATAAAAGGGGGGTATATTTATGTCTTTATAATTTAAAATTTAATATATTTCTTTAAATAATAATAATTTGAGCTTCCTGAAAATTAAAAAAAAAAAAAGACAACCATTTTATACTTTTTTTTAAAGTCAATTTTTTTTATAAAATAAGTTATTTGATAATTTTAGAAGATCCTAATTTTGCAAATCAAAATCTTTCCACCATCATGTGATGCTTGTATGAGAGAAAAGTCAAGCAATTACCATGTGTTTGGAATTGTGTGGTTGCAGAATTCGGAGGCATGCTGGCATAACCAGCCAACCTCTGACATTAATTTCGCAGCCCTACAGTTGCTGTGCCTTTGTTAGGATATCCTATACGGAATTTTCAATGTATATATATTAATTACACACATGTATAAATAATAAAAAGTACATGATAAAAAAATTAGAGTTTATTTCCGACTCGATCGCGTCAGATTAGCCGGTACTACTTCTGTAGTCTTTAATATAGGATCTAATTAATTAATTTGAGTAGATTAAAAATGTTAGTTAAATTAGTTAATATGATATGCTCTTTCTAAAGCACTATAAACATTTTTTTAAAAAAATTCCCTCTCTCCTTTTCTGACTTGATTATTATTAGGAGAATATCAATAGGGTTGATTTGGGAAAAAATTAGTAAACATGTAAAGTAGGTTTTATATATAGGACTAATATCAATTCTTTAATTGGGTCATATAATAAAGACCGGAGGAGTATTAATTTATACGAGTTTATTTCCATCAACAATGATTAGATTTATTAGAAAACCATCCTAGAGAGAGAACAATGGGTGAGAGCACGGAGGGAGTAGAAGAGGACGGTGGCGGTGAACGGAGAAAGGGTGACTGAAGGACGGACAAGGTAGAGATGGATGGAGTGTTCAGAAGTAAGGGAGACGGTGACTCCGAGGAGCTCTGGACGTGACATGCATGGCGGATATGGTTCGCAACCGAGACTCTCCTACAAAGACAAACTGTTGAGTTTGGGGGAAACAGGATTTTTGGAAATGAACCTATCCTTGGTTGAGGCTTTCAAGGGGTGGAGAGATTACTTTGCCAAGAGGAGTGGGACACCGGCCGAGGGGGTTGAAGGTGACCAAAACGAGCAGGATAATGATGAGGAAGAGCCCGATGAGTCCTGGATCACGATAGGGAAATTCCCTAAACTAAAGGTGTCAGCAGAGGAATATGCAGCTTGGTGTAAGCCATACATGAATTCACTAATTGTGAAGTTGCTGGGAAAGTCCCTACGAGTGGGGTTTATGAGATAAAGAATGGAGAGTATGTGGGGTAAGAAGAATCCGATTAAGGTGACCCCGCTGAGTAATGGGTACTATATCGTCTCCTTCTCCACGATGGAGGACCGAGATTTTGCTCTACAAGAAGGACCATGGATGATCGCTGATCACTATTTGATGGTGCAACGTTGGCGACCCAACTTTAACCCATGGAAAGCTGATACCCAGAAGAAAATAAAGGCTTGGATTCGGATTCCCGACTTACCAGCAGAATTATATACAGTGGAATCTCTAAGAAGGATTGGTAACCTTGTAGGGAAGCCACTCAAGATCGACCGAACGACGGCCTTCTCATATAAAGGAGGTTTTGCAAGAATCTGTGTGGAGATTGATCTGCAAAAGCCCCTGTTACCAGCTTTTGACCATTTCAATGACAACCATGCAATTGAATATGAAGGTTTACACCTAGTTTGTTTTCACTGTGGGACGTATGGACATCATACAAACTAGTGCCCCTTGAAAAAGCCCACGGAGACGTCGCCGGTGATGCCACAGCAATCAGTGCCGGAGCAGCCTACTGGCGAAGCCGGTGAAAGGGAGGGAACGAAGGCTACAAAATCGAGAGAGGGCAATTGTCAAAGAGAGATTTTCGGTCCCCACATGATTGTAAAGAGAGATTTTCGGAGGAAGATTCCAATAGCGGATATGAAGGGATTATCTAGCGCAACGGGTATAAGCATCACAAATAATTCGCAAGAAGAATCTAAACAATCTAACAAGCCACGTGTTGCTGAGGCTTTTTCTAAAAATAATGAGGGGATAGGAAGACAGGCTGGAGATTCAAGGATAGGAGAGAAAAGATTTGGTATTGAAGCCAATAATAAGTCAGAGAAGGTGGGGACCCCAGTTGTCATGAAGAAGAACTTAGGACAAAAGAGGAAACCACGTGGGAAGGAGAACCTGCACAACATCAAAATCCTAGCTAGAGGACAAAGGAAAGCCTCAATTGAGAGTGAGGAGCCGAGCCAAAATGGTGTGGAAACGCCTAATTCCTTCGCTATGTTACTTAATGGGTCGATGCATGATGTAGAGCCCAGCATAGGGGGCTACTTTTGTGGTCAAGGCAACCGTGACCTGAAAGCACAGCAGGATAGTGGGTCTGGGCTTGGTAAGGACGAGGGAGTGGGCGTGCTAGAGCTAAGCTCACGTGGGGCCAAGGAAACAATCACTGACATGACTGACGGCCACTCTGTGAAATGTATGATGATGGATAAGGAAAGGGGTTGCACCCTAGAAACTGGGATGGTTTCTCAATGAATTTCTTATTTTAGAACGTTAGGGGCACTGGGTCCCGTGCTTTTCCCAGCCTCATACGTGACTTGGTTTCTCATTATAAATTGGATTTTGTGGCTCTCTTTGAAACTCGATGTGGGGGAAGAAAGGCCAGCCGTATTGCCAGCCAGCTGGGTTTTTGAAACAGAAAGGTTGTGGATGCTGATGGTTTCAAAGGAGGTATCTAGTGCTGCTGGTCAGATAGACTAACAAAGGTGCAAGTAGTAGTTATGGATAAACAGTTTATGCACCTAAAAATTGAAAATCTTGATCGGCAGAAGTGGGAAATGACGTGTGTGTATGCTAGTCCTATTCCAAGCCAAAGACGATCTCTATGGCATGAGCTACGTAACATTAGGAGAGGAGTAGTGGGACCTTGGTATCTTGGTGGTGATTTCAATGCCACACTTCTCTACTCCGAATGCCTCTCGGCCGGTGCCAATAGAGACCCTGACAAAGATTTCTACAATTTTGTTACCGAAGAAGAGTTGAATGACATGGGTTTTATAGGACCCAGATTTACCTGGAAGCGATCAAATGTGGAAAGTCGTATTGATCGTCTTTTGTGCTCAAGTGACTGGCTAGGGGCTTTCCCAAATGCGATGGTCTCTCATCTACCTTGGTATAAGTCTGACCATAGGCCTCTCTTATTGCAACTTCATTGCCTTCAAACGTCCAGGCGAACCCAACGCCCCTTCCGCTTTCTCGCTCCTTGGGTCCTGCACGAACAGTTCGATGAATTTGTCAAAAATGCTTGGAACACGTCTTTGCCTTGGAAGGAAACAGTTAGAGAGTTCACCGATGTGTGTGTTACTTGGAATGTGCAAGTCTTTGGCAGCGTAACTACACGAAAGAAAAGGCTCATAAGACGACTAAATGGTATTATGCGTGCGGAAGCACAATACGGACTGACAGAGAACTTGGAAGTGTTGCAGCAACAATTATGGAGAGAGTTAAATGATGTTCTGCTCCAGGAGTCTCTGCTTTGGGCCCAAAAAGCAAGGTGTGAGTGGCATATTAATGGCGACAAGAATACGCGTTTCTTTCACATGAGAGCTAATGGGAGAAGGAAAAGAAACTTTGTCGGGGCCATTAAAGACGCTTCAGGGGAGTGGGTTTATAATGTGGAGAAAATAAAATCACTCGCTACTGAATTCTTCTCCACACTGTTTACGGAAGATATGGTTCAACGTACCCCAGTGCAGTGTTCTTTTTCCCACCCGCGAATAGAGACAAACGATCAAGAAATTTTAGAAACCGAAGTGGTAAACACAGAAATTAAAGAGGCACTTTTCAGTATGGGAGCACTCAAGGCACCTGGGCCAGATGGTCCGAATGCCCTTTTTTATCAGAACCAGTGGAAGGTGGTAGAGAACTCGCTGTGCAGTTTTATTAAATACCTCTGGTGAAACCCAACCCAAATCTCTACTGTTAATGCAACGTTTATCTCTCTCATCCCAAAAGGAGACCATCCGGAGGAGCTTAGGGACTTGAGACCAATCAGCTTATGCAACGTGGTTTTTAAAATTATCACGAAAATTATTGCTAACAGACTGAAAGTGATTCTTTCGCACATTATCAGTCCGAATCAGTGCAGTTTCATTCCTGGGCGTCATAGCTCTGACAACATAATTGTAGCACAGGAAGTGATACACTCTATGAGAACTATGTCTGGCAAGCGGGGGTATATGGCCCTAAAGATTGATTTAGAGAAAGCATATAACAGGGTTAATTGGCTTTTCCTCAAGAGATGCCTACATGACTTGCACATTCCTGAGAAGCTCATTGAAATTATCTACCAGTGCGTAGTCACCCCCTCCATGAAGCTGCTCTGGAATGGTGAAGTTACAGGCAACATTAAGCCGACTAGAGGAGTAAGGCAAGGAGACCCCATCTCCCCATACTTGTTCGTAATATGTATGGAGCGTCTTGCTCACCTCATCCAGGAGCGGGTTGCCTCCAAAACTTGGCTACCCATAAAGCTTTGTAAGTCTGGACCGCCAATCTCCCATTTGTTTTTCGCTGACGATATTATTCTCTTTGGTGAAGCATTGATGCAACAGGCTGAAGCGATTAAACAGTGTTTGGATGTGTTTTGTGAAAGCTCTGGTCTGAAAGTCAATGCTTGTAAGACTCGGGTGTACTTCTCCTAGAATATTAATCATACCCGAAAAACTGAACTAAGCAATGTGTTGGGTTTTCAAATGACGGGGGACCTTGGAAAGTACTTAGGTGTACCATTGTTGCACTCTAGAGTCACCAAAGATAGCTTCCAAGGAGTTGTTGATAAGGTGAAACAAAAGCTAACGAGTTGGCAAGCTAATAATCTTTCGTTGGCAGGACGAACTACGCTAGTTGCGGCAATGACTACTGCAATCCCAGGGTACACTATGCAGACTTCATCCCTGCCAGTAGGTACTTGCGACAGCATTGAGAAAAGTAACCGGGCTTTCATATGGGGCACTACAACAGAAAAACAGAAGACCCATCTCGTAAAGTGGGACATCGTCTACCAGCCAAAGAAAACAGGGGGTCTTGGAATTAAGAACATGCGGCAGCAAAACCAAGCCTACATGGCTAAGCTTGGGTGGAATTTGATGCACCGTAAGGATGAACTGTGGGTACAGGTACTGCGGAGCAAATATAAGTGTGGAAACGATCTCATACCAGTTATAAACATGGAGCGACGCGGCTCAAACGTATGGCAGGGGATCAAAAACTCTTGGAAGTTTGTTAAAGACAGGTGTGTAGTTGACCACTCGACTAATATGGTGAGATGGAAGCATGAAAAGAGTGGACTGTTCTCAGTTAGAAGTGCGTACACCATCATTACAGACGGTGTCTGAGAAGGCGACCCAACGTGGCAGAAGATTTGGAAGATGGATACCACTCAAAGGTGCAAAACCTTTTTGTGGCTGGCTTACCATAACCGTCTTCTCACGAATGAGGAGCGGGCCCGATGACATATGACCAGAGATAACTTGTGTACATGGTGCAAACAGAGGCCTGAAACCACGTTGCATGTTCTACGTGATTGTGAGGTGACCATGAGGTTGTGGAGAGGCCTGATAAGACCAGAATCACATAACAGGTTCTTCCGTGCCAACCTAAAGGACTGGATGCCATGGAATCTGAGAGGCACCCTCAATGCAGGATATAAGGACTGGGGGAGCACATTCTCAACAATCTGTTGGTTACTCTGGAAAAGGCGGAATGACAGAGTCTTTGAGGCCAGAATCACAACGAATGACTCCCTGCTTGTACATGCCAAGTCCATAGTCACAGCTACCCAACATGCTCGAGCCCGCATGAAAGGAAGTAATCTCAATGGCCATCCAGTGACTGATAGACATGAACAATGGTAGAACCCAAGGGAAGGATGGAAGAAGTTGAATGTTGACGGAGCCTACTCGGGACGTAAAGGAATTGGGTGCAGTGGAGTTGCACGCAATGATAACGGGGCTTTCATTATGGGCTTCATGCACCACGACCATACCGGAGACAGTCTATCCGCCGAGCTATGGGCTGTTCTTCTCGGACTGAAAACCACTTGGGACGCAGGCCATCGACTTGTGATTCTGGAAACAGATGCCTATGAAGTGGTAGATCTATTACGGGAGCAGCAGACGGATACACATGCCGAAGTCGGCCTGATTTCTGAGATCAAGGCACTTCTTGCACGGGACTAGAATGTCGAAATTCAACACGTGAGCCGAAATGCGAATAAGGCAGCTGATTATCTAGCAAAGTTGGCTTTGGGAGGCATCACGGGTTTCTTTCCTATGCTCTCGCCGCCTGCAGAGCTTAAAGATATTCTTTTACAGGATTCATCCGGACCCAATGATAATGGGTAGCGTGCTTTGAGAGTTTCTCTCTCCTTCTTGTATAAAAAAGAAGATTTATTAGAGCGTTTTGTCATCTTACATTTGATAAAATTAATTATAATTTTGCCTTCTCTATCCAGCCCCACGTTATTAGAGTCCATCCTTTAATTAATAGAATATTTATTGTTTTATATATCCTCTCCTCATATTAGTTAGATCGATCTCTCGACACAAGCTATTCAAATTTAATTCCTTTCTCTTGCTCAAGATGAACAAAACAAGGATGAATATTCACTTCAGTACTGAAAATAAATACTCAATCCACTTTGTTTTTTTATTTTTTTTCCAAAATATTTCTATTAATTATAAGAGGTTCTACGAAAGAATAGTTTTAATATATATGATTAAAGAATTTAGAGAGACTAATATACATTTGTAACAAATAACTAACTTAGCTAATTTTTCTAATATTTCTAAATTACTTATCTTAATCCTATATTAAAGATCGAGATAGCAATAACGAAGGACCAACAATTTCGATTGCCAGTTAATACATGTATATATGTCGAACCAGTTTTGGTGCTCATCCATTTGATAAGTATTATAAGCTCATCAGATCTAAACCGTCTATATCTTATTTGAACGGTCCATATTTAAAATCTTTAATTATTTATTTTTAAATAGAATAAAATATTTTTTAAAAGAATGATAGTCAAGAGATCATCACTATTTTAGATTCTATACATATTAAAATAATTGTTTTAAATAAATAAAAATAAAAAAGAAATCAAATCTGAACCACCCAAATGAGATATGAACGGTTCAGATCTGATTAGCTTATGGTGCTCATCAAATGGATGAGCACCGAAACTGGTTCCGTATATATGTATGTATAATGTGGAACCAGTTTCGGTGCTCATCTTTTTGATGAGTACCATAAGCTCATCAAATCTGAACAGTCTATATCTCATTTGAATGATCCAGATTTAAAATTTTTAATTAATTATTTTTAAATAGAAAAAACTATTTGTTGAAAGAATGATAGTTAAGAGATCATCACTATTTTAGATTCTATACATATTAAAATAATTATTTTGAATAAATAAAAATAAAAAAAGAAATCAAATCTAAACTACCCAAATGAGATATGGACATTCTTTCAAAAAATAGTTTTTTCTATTTAAAAATAATTAATTAAATATTTTAAATCTAGACCATTCAAATGAGATATAGACTGTTCAGATTTGATGAACTTATGGTACTCATCAAATGGATGAGCACCCAAACTGGCTCCTGTATAATGTATAGGCGCATATATGCATGCAAAGCCTAAAGTAGGATTACGTATTTTGGTTGACCCAGAAGGCCAAAAAAAAAAAAAAAACCAATGTTTGAAACCCGATCAAAAGCCAGTGACTCAACTATCTAACTCAGGAAGAAAATAATCCGATACAACTCAGGTACCCTATTAGGTTGAACGAGTTACTTGGGTTAATTTCTTTTTTGTTTTTTCGTCTTCAAAATGACGAAACAAACGAAACAATGTTTATTTAAAAAGAGAGAGAGAGAGAGAAAATGACGCTCCCCAGATTTGACACCGCACCATTTTCGGGCAAAACAGAAATAAGCTCCAAGAAGACTAGACAGACCAAGATGAACAAGAGAATCAGGTCAAGAAAGAAACCCAAAAAAAAGAAAGAAAGAAGACGAAAGAAACTACTAACCAGGTTATAGTTTAAAAAAACCAGAGGAAAGCAACATAAAGTTGGATGATGAAAAAAAAAACACACACACACACACAGAGACACCAGAAAAATTCAAATTTCCGAGCCCATATGCCCATACACCAACATAACGTTTGGCAGGCTTAAGAGGTGATGATGATATTTAATTTGATAAGCTATACATACACAGGTATAGATTTAAGTAAGATTTTATGACCAAAAAAATTATATATTTATTGTAAATTTTCCGCGGCCAAAAGATTTTAAATATTTTTTTGCTAACGAATATTCATTTTTAATAATAAAAGAAGTTAAAAGATCTGTCAATTTAATGTGATTATATATATTAATATATACATAGCCATTTATTTTATATTATAATTTTTATTCTTATTTTTTTGTCTAAGAGATTTATTACATAATTAAAAATTATATTACTTTGATCATAACCACTTTAACCTGAGTTTAAATTAACTGTTATAACTTTTTCATCTTTGCATAGATATAGAGAACCTAACTTTTGATTTGCATACTGACAAACTACAACTTTCATAAGTTCCATCTTAATTAGTCCTAATTAACCTACTTTGATTTAATTTGCATGCGAGATATCGTATGAATTCTATCACACATAGGATAATTAAGATCTAGGATAAAGAGCAGTTTAAATATTTTCTGTAGCTGACCACATAGCTATTTAATTATTGTGGTTAATTTGTTTAGTTTAGCTCAGCCAATTTAGTTCAAGTCAAAGTTTTCGCTATATATTATAACTTGTTTTCAAATTAAAAAATAACAAGCCTGGATTTTGCCAGCTGTACTATTAAATTGTGTTCTATTCTATCTATGACATTGCTATTA